ATATTCTGGACTGATGAGACAAAAGCAGAACTTTGATTCCCGTTACATCTGTCATCAAACTAACAGCACATCATCAAAAGAACATCTTATCAATATTCAAACAAGGTGGCAGTATTAATGATGGTCTGGGGCTGCTTTAGGACCTGGACAACTTGCCATAATTAATGGTACCATAAATTCTGCTCTCTATCAGAAAATCCTGGAGGAGAAGGACACTTAGTTTATGCAGCAGAACAATGATCCAACACACCAGCAAGTCCACCTCTGCGTTCTCTCCTGTGCCCCGTTGCTTTGGAACAATCTTCCTCTTCACATTAGAGAGGCTACATCAGTTTTAAGTCCAGATTGAAGACCTATTTTTATTCTCTGGCTTTTAACTCTGTGGGTGACTGACACTTATTCATTTTATTGTCTTGCCAAGTTTCTATATTATTATTATTATTATTTATTGTTGTATTGTTCAGCACTTTGGTGTGTTTTTAAAGTGCTATATAAATTAATGATGATGATCATGAATGGTTCAAAAAACCCAAAATACATGTTTTGGAGCGGCCTAGTCACAGTCCTGACTTAAATCAGACTTAAATAAATCACTGCAAACATTTGACCTTCAAGAGTTACAGATCAAGTTTTTAGGTTTAGTGGGCAATTACTTTTTTCCACAAGGGACCAGCTTGGTTTGTATAGATTTATTTCTCTTAATAAATTAAATCATTATTATTATTATTCATTTACAAAATGCATTTTCTATTTACTCAGGTTATCTTTTGTCTAACAATAAAAATGTATTGACGATCTGAAATAAGTAACTGTGACAAATGGAAAAAATAAGAAATTGTGAAAGGGGGAGTTAATTTATCACAGTTCTGTATATCATTCTTTTATGTACAGTCTGTGGATGAACAGCAGCCACTGTCACCTATAAATAAACAGCACAATAACCCCACCATCTTACCAAGCTTGTCTCCCCTCACAAACCCAGCACAGGTCGGGCTCTATCCAAAACCTGCCACATGACTCTCAAGATGACTTTTGACTAACAGGTGAAACTCAAGCTTCCTGTCATGTGTCAGCGGCACAAACTTCTATTCTTTTTGGTCTAGGCGATGTTATGAGTTTTATGGTGAGGGAAGTGGTTGAATATCGCCCCCGCAAGGCTTCTAGGCAAACAAGAGGGAAGCTTTTTTACTTTTATCAATGTGACAATCTCCTAACTTAAGGTGACACTTACTTTTACCACCACCTTTAGCCCCAGTTTCACAATAAAACCCTCAAAAGCTTGAACAAAAAACGAAAGAAAATTAAATGAGAGGTACTAAAAATTATACATCCAAGAATTGTACCAGCCTTTTTCTGTGAGCTAGCTTCGAGCTAACGATAGCTTGCGGATGTCGTGCCAAGTTTGGCTCCCCTCAAAATGTGCTTCCCCTTAGCCCAGAAACAGGCTCACAAAGGTCCCAAAACACGAGTGGACGGTGGATCCATCGGAATGATTACCCTCCTCCGAGTGATTTATAAAAAGACGGCTTCTTTATAGGCTAGTCAATATTTACGGGGATACAAGAATTGGCACGGTACCCCGGCGAGCTAGCTAACAGTTGGCGAGTTAACAAAGATTGAGGCGCCCAAGAGCACAAAGAGCAGCCCACAACAAAAGCCCCGTGAACACAGCCACGGACACTGACAGCTTCTCTCACCTCCACCCGAGCCTCTGGCCTCATCCAACGGAGCGATCCGGATCGATGCGACAAACACGGGCAAAGTCGTCCTTTGTGCTGCAGATTAGCTCGCTCCGTGTTACGGCTAGCTGTAACGTTAGCTCGGTGGCTAGCTAGCAGTTTAACTCAGGAGGAGGGAGCGACCGAGCTCGCGCAACACCCGGCTTCACGCACCCAGAGCCGGTAAATGAAATAACTCACACCGGCTCCTTCGCTCCAAGGCTGGTTAGGACACAGAAACTGTGCGTCTATGAGGGACAGTCGCACCGTTTGGTGTCAGCCTGCTTGTAAAAAGTTATTTGGATTTCAATGTTTCCGCCTAGGCAACAGCGACTCTGTTCAAACTGCTCCTCCGCCTCACCGCCCACTACGGCTGCGGCGGATTCAAGAGGCGCCAAACGTCTAGGCCAATCACAGAACCCGATGTTAGGGTTTCCTCAGTGAGTCCTCCGCGATAGGTCGAATGATATAAAAGTGTAGCCAATGAAATTTGGAGCTGAGCTGGGGGCCCTGTGGCGGGGACATGTGGACAGCTTCTCTTTGTTCTCTCTTGTCAACGGAAGAAAAAACAAAATATGCAAATACACAATTTGACAGTTAAGTTAATAATATTTATGCATGACGTTTGAAATCAAAGCGGTGTCTCTGATGCCTGACAGCTGTCACAGCCGTGGGGCTAAACTAAAACACTTATATAAAAAAGGTTATCGATGGATTTAAGGGCAGTGGAGAGGCGACAGACAGCGCGTCGTTTCGTGCAGAACATCTCAGGTTTCAGCAGGTGTGTGAGCGTCTCAGTGTGTCCAGAACAAGGAAACATGACGGCTGTACGGGTTTATTGAATGAATGAGAGACTCCAGTGCCACAGCCAGCAAGGGCAAGGGTCTCCAAGTTTATTTAGCCACGCCCCTCCGTCCAGCGATTGGATGACGCTTCGAAAACGTCCGCATGATGCATTCACTGCCAGCGGAAACGGAAAACACAGCCGAC